CACGCCACGTCTTTCTAGAAATATCCTGTTCCTTCATGAATGCTCTAGCGTTTACTAGATATGTGTTAGTCTTGGGTATATAAGACAGTCAAAACGTGACGGAACAGAGTGAATGAGGAATTGAACTGCAGTCAGAGAGTGTGTAATTGAACTGAGTATTGTTGAAGTTGAGCACGTGAGACCTTCGTTGAGAATCATAGTGTTTGTTATAGCGCGACTGTTGAAATTAAGTGTATCGCAAAGTTATATTCAGAAAGAATAAACCTGTTTTATTTAAGAAAGGATTTGTGTCGCTAAAGTTTAGTCGGAACGAAGTTACGGAAAATTAACTAACAAACGGAGACGTAACAATATGTTACTTACAGGTTCCCTATTAATATATGAGTGACACTGACACATCATAAAAAACATTCTTTCAATATTGCAATCAATACCACTAATTACATTGATAATGAGTGATCTCCAACTTTGTTTTAGTCAGTTCTTTATACTGAAGTTTAAATTGACAAAAATAGAATTATTCAATATAATGCAATATTAGTACTCCAGCAATAGTAAATTCTTTATAAAGAATTAAGTAATCAATAAGTTAAACTGCATTTATTCTTACTATGTACATTTAGTCTGCTTTACCAGCAATAATATATATCTGTCTCTAATATTTATAAGAGCCTATATTATTGATAAATATGATTTACCAAGTATTTTAAGTAAAGATATTTTAATGTTACGTGTAATACAAAAATACCCGAAACATATATTTGACATTTTTGGCCCTTGTAATATTCAGTCCTTTCAGTTTATAGCCAGTATGATAATTTAATTATGAAGTTGTTGTTTTATAGAAGTGCTTATTATTGAAAACAAACTTACAGTGTATACATTAATTAGTTTAATATAATATGTAATTTCATTTACATTTTTGTGGATTTATATTATAGGTTGGTCATGTAAGAGCAGAGAGAGATATTTTAGTAGAGGCTGATCATGAGTGGATTGTGAAGATGTATTATAGTTTTCAAGATGCTATAAATTTGTATCTGATAATGGAGTTTCTTCCAGGAGGTAGGTGTATCCATACGCTAAATATTTGATATGCACATTTGGTCCCCTTTATTAAATCCTAACATTCATCTTGTTGCTGTAAGATTCATCAGATTCTTATGTATTTCAAAAGTCTTTATGCTTGTCTTCTAACTATCACTATCCTTCTTTTAGCACATAAATTCATCAATAAACTTTTGTTGTTGGATTTACAATCTAGATTCCATCTATGGTGTTTGTCACGTAACCTTCACTGTCTATCTAGAGTTCATGGGCACCCACAGAAATATTTTCGTGGGGTGGTCAAAAGATGTATGTAGGGGATTAACTTTTACAGTGTAAGTCAACAGACTAAAAGAATATGTGTTATGTGTGCTTACACAAAACATAGATTTACAGATTTGATAAAAATTGCTAAAAAATATTAAATGTTAACTTTACACCATAATACGTTCAATTTGTTTGTGAAATGTAAGGGAGAGCAAATGCCCCCTCTTGCTCTTCCTGCAGGTGCCCATGGTGAAGCTTTGTTTCAAAATTACAAATGATATGTGTTGAAAATATTTTCAACAGAATATTTGTGACAGAGAATAGTTATGATAATTTTTAGTTAAGAGTACAGTTGTCAGAGGAATTTATCAACATTAAACATGTTAGAAGCTCTTGTAAGCAAACTTTAAGTAGTGTAGATGAGATAAGCCATTTTAATGCAGCTATATCACACAGTAGATTCACTCTAATAAAAGCCATTTTACTAGTGTAGAAGTTATTCCAGCATGTAACAAGAGCATCTTACATCATCCTTACATTGATAACAAATGTTTTAGCTAGCATTAAGTTATAGCTTCTTTTCATAGAGGTATCATTGAGATTTTTTAATTCTCATAAAATAACTCTTAAATAAATGTAATGAAAAAGACAAATCCCTAAGCATGAGCATACTTGGAATAGGCATTTATTCTTCAGGAACACATGGTAAAAAACACAAAATAACTTTAAATTGTTTACATGTAATTATAGCCATATTTTAAGAGTTTTATGCCATGTGAAATATTGATCAACAAATATTACAAATAATTAGATATTGTTGGTACCAGTTTAATGGCAGTCTACAGAATTTGTGTAGCCATTATACAAATAAATCAAATGTGCTATATTGTGTATATATTTCCCATATGTTAAGAATTACATATTTTTTATATATCTGCTCATCATGACTACTTTGTGTGTTCTATCTTGATAAAGAAATGAAACTTTATTGAATATAAATACAAATTTAGTTTTCCTATGGGATATCCATAGAGATATTAAATAATACAATGAGAATTTTACAACTGTTCTGCAGGAATACTATTGTGCTTCTATAAATGTTTGTAGGCATGGGTGTCTGCAGGGGGGGGGGGACTTCCTCTCTGGAAGATGAGAAACATAATTTTTTATTCATTCATTCAACATATGTATGTGAATTTACAAGGTTTTTTATTCACTTCACAATTTCACACTACTTGTTACACTTAATTTTCAATTCTAATAAAAATTGCCAGGTTTGTCAGCAGCTTTATTTAAAATCTCTAGATACTTACCCTGTATCTAAATATTGAAAAACATTGCTACCATGATGGCTTCTTAGATATTGGAAATGGCAATTTTCACTCAGGTCATCAAGGAGACTGATGTAGTCTTGCTGACAGCCTATGAGCCCTCACACATCTGTGATCAGAGTCAACCTATCTCCACCTGTCAGTAATACCGGCAGCGGGTTATCAAAAGGACTGATGCAGATTTGTTGTTCTTACCATGCATACTCAATAAATGCCATTGAAATATTGTCCTTTATGTAACCTCAAATTACTGTATTCATATAAGCGGTAGTTTTATAGAAGGTGAAATTACCCTATAGGGTTAAGAAACTAAAACAACAAACCAAAACTTATTATTATAGAATCCATATATCTGCAAGTCTGCAGTATGGATTAAACTAACCTTACAACTATTAAACCCCTCAAATCTGACTGTGGGAGCTTGCCTATTCTCTTGACCATAATGGCAAATCTTTGAAGGAGGGTCCACTGTCTCTTTAATTTTGACCTTGCCCCCCCCCCCCCCCTATGAAAAACAATTGTTTGGATGTCCATGTTTGTAAAAAGCTGATTTGTCTTAAAGGATATCCGTAGAAAGGTTATATCACTTCTAAAGGATCTCTGAGAAATTTTATAGCATTTCTAAAGGATGCCTTTTGTACTTTGTCTGTAGAAAGTCAATAACCTATGTGGAAGAGTTATATAGCTTCTATAGGATATCTGCAGGAAGTCTATAACTATTCTGTACAATGTCCTTAGAAAGTTATAGTATGTATAAAACTGTATGTAGAAAAATTAGTAACTGTTTCATATTATTTTATTTATGTCTGAATGTATTGAAACTTGAAGTGGGCCCAAATCGTGCTGCCATGATATTCCACATACTGCAATGTATACTGTTACGTCTCTGTATGTTTGTTTGTTAATTCTTCTAAGATACAAGTCCTTTCTTTAAAAAACGTGTTTATCCTTCCTCAAT